AAATTTTTATATATTTTTGCCTTTCAAAGCTTTCTGAATATTTTAGCATATTTTAATAAAAATGGATGAATGTGTGTATGTAGTGTGTATGTGTGTGCGCGTGCGGATACAAATTTTCGTCGACGATTTCGCGAACACCGATCAACCGATTTGAATAATTCAAAAAACATTTGTTTCCTATTGATAAGGGGACGTGCTGATTAGTTTTTGGCGAAGGCAGGTCTAGCCGTTCCGAAGGCACGGGGCAAAAAGTGCCAAAAAACGGTAACTCAGTTTTTAAGAGAACGGAGCGTCCGATTTCAATAATTCAAAAAACATTTTACTTGTATCGACAAGATGAAGAACTGATAAAATTAGGGAGAGGAAATGGGTCCAAATATCCTTAAAAAGGATCACGTGATTAAGGAACGCCGCCTAATGATCAATGGTTTCTCAATATTTAATTTATATATCTCACTTAGAAAATTGATCCTTTAAAATATATTTTATTTATAATTTTAATAAATTAAATTTGCATATAAAATATATTTTAAAGGATCAATTTTGAGAAAAAATTATTATTATTATTATTAAAGTTTAATTAAAATTATTATTATTATTATTAAGGAGCAAAAATAAATTTATAATAATTATGTGTATTTCGATTTGCTATTTAATTTATTTTTTACGTATAACATTTTTTACATTAATTTTAATTATAAAAAAATTAACTTAAATGTTTTTTATTTTTTTTTACTTGGTCTAATTATATACTTATGTAAATAATTGGTATAAGTTGATAAAAATGGCGCAAAAAATTTAAATGATAATTAAGTAATTTAGTTTAAAATTGATAATAATTCACGGTAGCAATTCTCGTAATTTTATTACACCTATCTAATTATAATAATCCTTGATTACTGCAATTTGGCAATCATAACAATTTTTAATAAATACTAATAATGGTATAATATAGTTTTAAACTATATTACCATCAGTATTTTATTTTATAACGACCGCATTTTGTTCATCATAGTAGATAAAGGACTAGCAAATGTTTTTATTTGTTAATGGAATTTCAATAATAATTTGTTGAGTACATTAATGTTTTTTTATGTTTTATTAATAATTTGGAATTACTAAATATTTAAATTATTACTATTAAAAGTATTAGCTTCGATGTTCTACGAATTTTCCGTTTCCAAGCGTTTTCTTATAAGAACATAGTAGTAGAATAAATAAGTTTTAATTCCACAGAGTGCGTAATAAATTTCATAACGAAATCCGAGGATTGAATAATATATTTTTACACAATTCTTAGAGAAACCAGTTTGATGAAACATTTTGTATAGGTATTATAATTTTGTTAATGGATGATAAAATTACATAGTAAATTATAATAATTTAAAATTATTATTTCTGTTCCCTTCTTTTATATAAAAAATCTATGCCTTCTTTATTATTTTTCATTATTTATTTTCTTTTGTCATTTTTAATTTTCATTATTAATTTTATTTAAATTTAAATTTTAATTATAATTGCATATTTTTAAACTAATAGTTTAACGACATCTTTATTCAATTTATTATTCAGATTCATATTTTCTGTTTAATTTTCATTTTGTATTACTATGCAGATTTTTGTCCTACAAGACTAATATAGTTTTGATTGACAAAATAATCTTTGTTAAAATTTATTACTATTAAATTTAATTTCCATTATTATTTTTATTATTATTGTTATTACTGTTATCATTATCATTCTCCTTATTATTTATATAATTATTATTATTATTTCTTCTAGTATATATATATTTTGTCGTTAAATCATAGCAGCTTATAGAATTATATGTAATTTTGATTGCTGATTATTAATTAATAAAAAAAAAATTAACAATTGTTTGTTGTATTCGTATCTCCAGAAAGCGATCGGATATTGCAATCCTTTAAATTTATAACAAATGAACATTAAATATTTTTTATTCTTTTACTAAATAATTTGTCATTCATAAAATTGTTTGTCTCAATTTGAAATAAAAATGTTTATAACTGTCTGATATTGTTTACAAAACTTTATTTATTCAAATAGCAAAGCAAATTATTTACCTTGTGTTTTTATTTAAACAGTAAGGTCATTGTTTTATTTTAAGTTAATTGACTCACTTTTCAAATTATATTAAATGCACATGATATTAAATTTGATTCCATAATGTTATTGACTCATACTGTTTGAAGATATTTGTCATTTGTGATAAGAAAATTAAATATTTAATTAAACTTATCTGTACAATGAGCAATAGATTTAAAGGTCGAAATAATAATAAAAAAAAATAAAATCCTAATGTAGTACTTGTCAGTAAAATAGATTAGTACATGTTATTTGTTTCAATATTATTTTTTGTTAACTTGTCAAGCAAAATGCCCTTGCAATCTTTAAAATTAATTACTTAAATATTCTAACCAGATAACGCTTCACATTTTGTCATTTTTTCCAAAATATTATTTATATATTTCAGCCTTGAGTTGTAACTTAATAGTGTATGTTTCTTGGTCATAAATTTAATTTGTTTATATTATTTTCTTATCTATTAACCATTATTATCTGAAAGACAGATGTTATTACATTTACATTGAATAATGTTACTGATAAGGTTAATTGCTTTCATGCAGACGGATTCATTTTAAAGTAAATATTCTTTATAAAAGTATATCTAAAAGTCTTGATAATAGAAACAGGATTTATAATTTTTTTATTTTTGGCATTAATATTATTTTTGAAGAAACCATTGATTTAGTTATATTTTGCTGATATAATACATAGTATTTTTAATTTTTTATTTAATTTTCTTTATTTGTAATTCATTTTTATTTATGTTTATTTATTTATTTATTATTAATTTTTCTTTTTATTTTTCTTTATTTTTTAGTGTGATTTTTTTTAATATTATGTGTAATTCAGCCCCGAGTTCTGTGCCAATAACTCTGATTGTTATATAATTTTGAATGAATAAAAATATAAAAGGCATATTATAGTTTCTTTCATTCTAAATGTAAAATTCATTTCATTAGTGTACCCGTGTTAAAAACTTTATAAAAAAAGAGGTTCTCCTTGTTAAGCATAGTAGATACAATTTATAAAACAAGTTGTTAGATAAAATTCAAAAAGGTAAATTGTTACTGACCTGGTTCAAGGATATTAATAGTATAGGCCAGAATTTTGATGAAATTGTCCATACATCCATCACTAATCCCTTTTCCAAAAAAATCTCACACCAAGTTTATTTTACAGCAAAAATCCTTTCAATCATTTGGGAAAATGTGTTCAGAATGTACCTGTTAAATTCTTAAGTCAGTTAAAAATATTAATGTATTATTGGGATATTATTGTCATTGGCAAATTTCGAAAATATCATTTCGAATCGTTTGTATCACAGATGCAATTTCAAAGAATTTCGTTTTGATTCTGTCGAGCAAAAATTGTTATTGTAATTCGAGCATTTATATAGCACGTGAACGTTGATATGAAAACAAATATATATATATATATATATATATATATATTATATATATATTCATATATATCTATATGTATATATGTATAAAGTTTGAAGTCTGAAAATATTTTGTTTAATATTTTTATTTCCACATAACAAAGTAACGCAAATATTTAACAAATAATGCAAAACTATTTCATTCGTGCCATGCTAGTGTGAAACTTGTTTTATAAGTACTAATTATATAATGAAAGATCTTTTATTTTAGATAATTAATTACATTAGTTTAAATATTGTAATTGATTTATTGAATAATGGTTTCGAAATGTCTGAATTTCTATGGATAGCCTTTACTTGGTGTAATTCATAGTTAAAATCTTTATTTTGAATTTTGAAGATATATTATTAGTTCCATTAAATTAATCAACAGTAATATTTGTGTGTATTTTATTTTAGTCAAATTCTTTCTCAAATATCCATATATTTGCATATAAACTGGTGGAGAGCACTTTAGTTAAGTTACTTGTACAAATATAAAAAATAAACCCAATTTAAATATAAAATAGTGATAATAAACTGAAATAAGTATGGAAACAAAATCGTAACTTTCATTAAAATTAAACTTACGTACAACAAAGACCAAAAAGTATTTAAGATCATATTACAATATTATAATAAACATAATTGTTACATTTTCTCATAAGAAAAAAACATGTATAATTAGAGTGGTCCTTATATAGTTATTTTTTATTTTTTTTTCAAATAAATTCAATTTGATAAAATAAAACCAAAAATACCGTTTTTTCGGTATACCGGTGTACCGGAATTGCATTCTAAGTACCAAAATGCCATGTCTGTTAATTTATTTCGTTATTATTTGAAAATCAATATTTCCTATGCACTAAATGCGTTAGAAAACAGTATTACATCATATGAAATATCTATCTATCTATTACGATTTAATCAAGTAAGAAGCCTGTAATCGTTAGTTTAGATTCCTGTATCGTTTCCCGTGCTCATAATTAGGGTTTATACAAAAACCGACATTTCAGAAAACCGGTTTTCGAGTTTCAATTTTACCAAAAAACCGGTTTTAACCGGTTTTCGAATTTTATATGAAAAATAAATTTTTGCTCGAATATTCTGTAATTTATCCGCAAATTTAGTGTAATTTAGTATAGTATTTGACTGAATTTATTTATTGTTCAATTTTATAGATAGTAAACAAAATTATTTTAATATTAATTAGTAGAACTAAAAAATAATAGTTTATCTTGATTAAATAACTTTGAAAATAATTATTCGTCATTTATGCATCATTTTCACATATAAGAATGAAAATATTTTTATGATAGTGAAAGGAAAGTTTTCGAATAAATAAAAATAATACATTTTTACATAAAAAAAATTCATTAAATAAATAAAAATAAAAATATATTAGATACATGTTCATACATACTTTTTAATATAAATTTTAATTTTAAAAACAATTAAGCTAAACTTTTATTTCTGTTCCGAGCAATTTTAATTAAATAATTTTAAACATTCTAATTGTTTTTTGTTTAATAAAATATGATTTACGTGTCCTTTGTTTACTCACAAAATTTCCTGAAATAGAAAATACTCGAGACCAAATTATGCTTAATTGTTTTTAAAGCCTAATATAATAATTCTAAGTTTTTTGTTCTTTAATTTGTGCCTTCTATGGTTTAAAACTCTTTTTTTAAGTTTGAGGAGAGGAAGTTACTTCTTCAAGAAGAAGTCACACTGGTATAAAGAACTAAATTATTATATACAAAACATTTCTGGGAACCATTGCAGACTGATAAGATATCAAATGCTATTTAAAAGATATGATTTCAAGAAACAAAACGCTTTCATGTATCTTTTATATTTTGCTAATTTGTCATTTTTTATTTATACAGTGAAAACCGACTTTTTTCACTAAAAAACCGGTTTTCGAATTCCATAATTTTCACCAAAAAACCGGTTTTTAAAACCGGTTTTTGAAAACCGACAAACCCTACTCATAATGCATTCAATGGGTATTTGACCGCGTTCGTTTTTGTTTAAGATGTGCCTTTGTAACATTTTTGTATCATAAAGTCCGCGGCTCGAAGAGCGATGAAACCGGTTACCGTCGTCCTTACTTCTTATTTCTTATTTCTTATGCGGGTCTCGTTGCAAGGATGCCAGGGATGGAGGCTGATTAATCTTATCAGATGCAATGGAATGGTATTGATGATTATTTCAGATTTGAAAAATGGCATTGTCGATAATTATGATTTATAGTTTGCGAACGAATTATTCGACGGATGTAGATATATTAGTAAAATTAAGTAAAGCGGGTCTACTCACTGGATTAGCATTCGGTTAAGATTTTACGCCCAGCAAAATTGCTGGTAATTTCATATTGGAATAGGCGTTGATATTTGGAGAAAAAAATAAGGCTCTCTTCATCCTTACTAATTTTCCAAAATAATCTAAAAATCCAAACAATTTCTTCTTTGATTTATCATTTTTGTTTTTTCCTCAAAGTCTAGCCTGCTTGATTCCCCACGCTCTGGGGAATATGAATTGGCGCTCTGTAAGAATATGAATTTTCGCAATGATTAAAATAATCTTGTCGACTTCAGTAGCCCTTTGGATCATACATCGGATTCTCGAATCGGATGTGATTCGAAGGAGAGTGTATTAAAGAGTCATCATCTTGAAGGTTGAATGGCCATTCCAATGAACCATTTCATAATGAATTCAATTTCTGACCCAAGGTCTAGGCTCAAAATTAATTTTTGTGTCAGCAATAAACATTGAGATCTGGGTATACAAAATGGGTATACCAACAGAAGTCCGGTGTCAGTAGAGTAAATGGGTTAACTCGCACTGACTCGAGGACTGGACGTACCTAAGTAGTCACGGAAGACCACTGATAATGGTGCTGCATCAAAGTCTACATTTTTTTTAAATTTCCGATTCATGCTCCTTCTCTGTCTTCATCACAAACGTCATAGGTCGCCAGTGTAAGAAAAAGTTATGAATATAAAGATATAAAACCCATTGGATGAAAATATAAAGAATTTATTAATTACAAAATTTTATGATAAATAAAAATGACAAATCATTTTTGTTTTTTTCTTAAAGTCTAGCCTGCTTGATTCCCCACAGCATAGTTAAATCACATACAAATTTGATTTTATTATCATTAATAAAAAACAAGGATCTTTTAATAGTGTAAAGCCAATAACTTTGGATTGAAATCATTTAATTTAAATTAATGATCTTATAGCTACAAGCTGCAATACAATATTTACTTTCACGACTTAGTCCTATACCTTTTTCTGGATGTTGATTTAAAATTGAGATAAACTATTTTTATTTTATTTGTTGCAGCTTAGAGATAAAATGTAAATTAAAGGATTCTCATTTGAGCAAATTTTTTCTATTATAGATATTTAATTAAAATTTTAGGTAAAAAAATTAATGAACAGATGATATGTTTCAATGTCTTTTAAAATACTTTGCAATGTTTTGCGTCACTATCAATTAATATACAATACATTAAGTAGTATCAACTACTTGATAATTTATAGATAGAACTATGAACTGTGCAACATGCCTTGTTATTAAAGTTGTCAGTATTCATAAATGCAATAATAATAATAATAGTAAGTGATAAACGAAAGATGATACATATTGCATTGAAGTGCTCTTTAATAAATCAAATGGTAATTAATATGCAATTTATTGAATTTTAACATGAGGATCATATCTATTCAAAAATAATTTATTGCAAATTCAATATAATATGTAGTAAAGATTTGGCCAGGTATACTTAAAAAAAAAATAAACACCGGTATTACCGGTTTCAAGAGCGTAAATACCGAAATACCGGTATCGGATTTTTCATCGTCGTTCCCTAATACTTACGTATCAGTTACTTTGTTTTATGATTTTTAACCCTGGAATTAAGTAGATCATATAAATATTATCTTATACAAGTCGTGCAATGTTGTATTGCCCGCCTGTGGCTGTTTGTTGTCAAAAGCACACGACGTTGACTTAAATAAATTGACTTATTACTTAGCACTCACTCGCTCACGGATTTTGTTTAGGAAGTAATTAGTTAGTTACTTCGTCGAGTAGAAGTATAGTTCACCATGGGTAATTGACCTGATTGAGCTTTGATGCCTTCCATACATTCGAAACTTAATTATCGAGCAACAGCTGAACTAAAGTCGGAACTTGCTAGGTTTTGCTTTTTGGGAAGTCACGAAAAAGTTTCACTAATATGATACTAAGGGGATAGATGATAAAAAATAGACAAATGAAAAATTATGTGAAACTAGTCAGCCTGTCAGGTGTTCTAAAAATGATTTATGGGTATATAATAATAATTTTATCAACTACGGTTAAATCCAAATAATTTAACTACTAACAACTAAATTTTTTATTGAATTAAATATATGTTTTTTAATTTTATAAGTTTGTGTCTGTTACTTTTTTAATTTTTTGGCAAATGTAAAAACTGATATATTATCAGTGTGAGTACTGTCTGTAAATTGCCTTTGTTATATTAATCTAAATTTTTTTATTATCAAATTGAATTATCAATAATGCACTCGAGGTTTACTATCATATGATACTTAAATACTGAAGTGATGCATATATTGCGCAATAAATTATATGCACTTAACCTGTTTTATTATAAGTAATATATTTCGTCTTAAAATTTCTATACACAGGTGTCGCATAAATATATTGCTCGTGATATGAAACTGTAAAAACATCTAAATTTATTATTTATTACTAGAATTATTGTAATAAATCGTAAAACATTTCAAGGCCTCAAATAAGATTTACAATTACAAGAAATCAGTTTATAGAAATCAGATGGAATTAATAATTTAATCATATATTTAATTGGTTTTGACACTCCAGAAATAAGATGTATTTTGTGAGCCACAAGTGCAGAGCATACATCATTTAACTTTATTTTTTGTTTTTTTTTTTTTAATATGATACTTTGAACTTTCTACACTATTTATATATTTGTAATTACACTATGTTTGATATAAGTCGTCATTGACTTGTGTTACATAAAAAGAAGGAAAACGAATAGCACTAATTAGAAGGAATATATAACTATGAGGGAGAATCTTAGCATTCTAGATCCTCCCCCATGAAGTAATGGGTCGATCGGCGGTTATCGTGACAATTGAAGTAAGGTTTGATCCACAAAATGTAGTAATGTTAGTTATGTCGACCAAAAGATTTTTCACCGTGTGTATATAGATTTCGCAATCTTTAAACGCGCAACGTAACGTTCCTTGAAGTCTTTGCAAGTTGCTTTCCGATGCAGAAAAATGCAAGTAATGCTTTAATACGATCCATCTACTGTAAACATACATCTCCTGAGTTAACATTGACTATTACATCCCTGAACGCACAAAGAAGACGACATGGGAACATAAAGACACAAACGAACTCCTCGGCAAAGAGTTAGAGATAAATCTCACGCCATGTAGGGCACGCCGGGGCTGATTTATGCGATGTCCCAGATATAGATATTTACATTATTTTAATACCACACAGCGTAAAATATGAGTAATGGAATAGTTGTCCATGGTATAGAATCCATATTTGCATAAAGTCATGGTTAAACTTATTGCATCAATCGAGATTTTAGTGAACTTGAGTTAGAGTGATGATCTTAAAAATTCTCCACCAACCAACTTCACGTGTATTTTTAGTACCTAGTAAAAATTGTAAAATTTTCGGGATTATTTTTAAATTTAGGTAAAAAATAAATACACATATCTCACTAAATCTCATTATTAGGGTTTGTCGGTTTTCAAAAACCGGTTTTAAAAACCGTTTTTTTGCGAAAATTATGGAATTCGAAAACCGGTTTTTTAGTGAAAAATGTTGGTTTTCACTGTATAAATGGAAAATGACAAATATAGCCAAATATAAAAGATAGATGAAAGCGTTTTGATTCTTGAAATCATATCGGTTCAATAGCATTTAATATCTTATCAGTGTGCAATATATTAATTTAGATTTTTATACCAGTGTATGTATTAATTAAATAACACATAATAAACTAACTAGACACTTAAACTTAGAATTATTATATCAAGCTTCATAAACAATTAAGCATAATTTGGTCGCAAGTATAAGAGTATTTTCTATTTCAGGAATTTTTGTGAGTAAACAAAGGACACGTCCAAGTAGTAATTCAATAGATGTTCTCAGTTTCTTGAAATCATATTTTATTAAACAAAAAACATTTAGAATGTTTAAAATTAATTAATTAAAATTGCTCGGAATAGACAATACTTGAGTTTTTAATTGTTTTTAAAACTAAAAGTGATATTAACAAGTATGTGTCAACATGTATCTATTTTTTTTTTAATTGAATGATTTTTTTTATTTAAAAACGTATTATTTTTATTTATTCGAAAACAATCCTTTCACTATCATAACAATATTTTCATTCTTATATGTGAAAATGATGCATGAATAACGAATGATTATTTTCAAAGTTATTTAATCAAGACTAACTATTATTTTTTAGTTCAACTAATTAAAATTAAAATAATTTTGTTTACTATCTATAAAATTAGACAACAAATAAATTCAGTCAAATACTGCTTTAAATTACACTAAAATTGCGGATAAATTACAAAATATTAGAGAAAAATTTTGTTTTCTATATAAAATTCGAAAACCGTTTTTTTTTTAGTAAAATTGAAATTCGAAAACCGGTTTTATAAAATCCTACTCACTATGCCTCCGCAGCATAATATTTCATTCATTTTTTCCACCCCCTTCACCACCTTTTTGCATCTCGTGATTAATAGATGGCTTCTAAGTGTATTTATCCTATGTCTATTATCTTTTTAAAATAAATATTCCTAAATTTTATATCTCCACCACTGGTGTGCCCTACTTCGTGATTCTGCATCTTGCATAATGGTCTTTTGCAAATGCAAAGCAATCCACGGCTCCGGTTACTTACGACTTGTGATGTAGAACTCGAGGGCTGTTTTTATTAAACATTTCTTATTATGGGTATTATATTATTATTCCCGTCGTGTGATATTCATTGTCGTGAAAGACAACATGTTGAGATTTGTTCTAGAAATGCGCTTTGCGAAAAAATGAGAGAACATTGTAAAAAGATACTTTGTATTTTATAAATTGTTAGAAGGGACTCATAATGTATATATTTTTATTATAAAGTTATCAATTTTCATTGCACATAATTTTATATTTGTATTATTTTATATTTCTCATGCAGTGACCTTCCAACAACCAGCAGAATCAAGTTGTGTTACGCAATATAATTTATTGCATACGCATCCAGCATACTTTTGTTTGACACATTATCATTTATAATTGAATTGAAGTTTTGCGTTTCTGTTCTCGTAATCTCGTTCACATGACTCTTTATTTGATTGTAAAATGGTAACGCCATTGTTGAAACGAGTGCTGTTTTGTATATGTACATAATAATTAGTAGCACTATGAAAGTTGAGTTTAAACGATTTAATTATTTGAGGGCATATATAGAAATTTTGTTATGCAATCTATATGGCTTGCAGTTGTGATCTTAAGGGGGTTGTTTTTTTTTTTTTTCGATTTTGAGATTGTTTGATATTATGAAAGCTAAAAACCTTAGAATTATTTAAAAAAAATCATCTCAATATCTATTTTTTTGACGAAGTTATAGATGTATATATCTCTATATGTATGATTTTCTGAAACCGTTTTTTTCATCGCTCCGCGAGCTATTGTATGCCAGCTGCTTTCTTTTTCATTATAATACCTCATGCACATGACCTTTTAAATGTGTCAGCATCTTTGAACACCATGGTGTATTTAGTACATTAAATTAAATGTTGTATTTAGTACATTATATTTTAACTTTAAATACGTTTTTTTCAAAATGACTTTTTTCAATGCGGTGTAACAAAAAACAACCCCCTTAACACATTTTGCATGATGTTACATATTAAATTTTGTATGTACCCAAATTAATACGTCAGCAGCTATTAGCTTCTAAAGTTATTCAACTAATTTTCACAATGTTACATTCCAGGAAGCGGACAAGCTATCAATCCTGAGCGAGACGGACAGCGGTGTCGTGTGCACTTCCACGTCCCGTCCATCCAGCTACGTCGGCACACCAAATCTCCAGGGAATTTTGTTCCCCCCTTTACCTGCCACCGGTACGCCACTGTCTCTATGCTGTGTTCAGTGCCGCCGAACCGTTTTCCTGGACGACGCCGGCCCTGCCCGCAACTTGCCAAGGTATAGGGTTATGGAAAATGTCGTTGATAAATTCAAAGGCAGCGGTACGCACCTACCGCGATGTCAGATGTGCCCCGAAAATCCTAAAATCGCAGCCGTGTCTTGCGAACAATGCGCTGTTTTATATTGCGACGAGTGCAGGGAAACTTGTCACCCGGCCAGGGGGCCTTTGGCGGGACATACACTTGTGAGAGCAAGGGCACCGCCGTCTCCGGAGCCGTTTTGCCCGGAACACCAGGACGAGAGGCTAGGATTTTACTGTTTGGCGTGCAAGGAACCTGCCTGCGCGAGCTGCCTGCAGACGGAGCGACACGCCAGTCATGACGTGCAGGCGATCACTGCAATGTGCAAGGCGCAAAAGGTCAGACATTGTTATTAAATATTCATAGATGTATTATATATTCATTAGGCGGGGTTTACTCGTGCCTCCAATTAGCATAGCTTGTTAAAATATCGACATAGTTTACTATTTTCTGATGATATTACATATATGCGCTTTCACGATGTTTGGTAAATGAATTTGATCTTTAAACTGCAGTTAACCGCGGAAATCTATTAAGTACACTGCAGTGAAATTGAATATGATTAAGTGCGCTGAACGTTGTTCATTATTAATTTTCAAACTTACCAATAATCTGATGATCCAATTATAGTCTAAGCAGTAACTGTATGTTTTTATTTCCGTTCCTTTGAAAAATATATCAATTATCTCAAAATGTTTTATTACAATCAGAGATCATTATCAAGGAAATAGTCTATGTACAGTTACTTCAACTAGTTTGGCAATATTTTAAATTAATTGACTTGCACAAAAATAAAAAAGTATGACATGTGAAATAAACATTTCCAATAGCTGAATGAAACTAAAACGTTGGAATCACGCAATACGTAGTCTTTCTGTCTGTCAATATGTCTGAACGAATCGATATAGTTGTGAAATTTACTTGCTTTGCATATTTAACTGACATAAAATATATAATGTCATAACTACGCATAAATTCCAATGGGTGAAATATCTGAAAACAGATTGAGAATCATAATATATTGATTACGTTTCCGCATTGATTTCATTATATATTAATCGATTAAAAGGAAAATACGGGAGCCTTGTTGGTCCGTTATTAATTTGATGCTATCTCTACCCCTTAAAAGCTTGCTAATGAATACAAACTGGTCTTTTTCAATATTTAATGGTAGGGTCGCTCGCGGTCAAATATATACTGTACCTTGGTTAAAATTTTCTAAAAACATTCCGAATCGTTGGGCTATAGGTCGTCATCCATTTTCATAATATTATTCCATTAAGAATGTCACAATCGGCGCGAACTCCGGCTACCAGATGCAATTTACATGTTAATCCGTCCACACAGATCGACTGGATTACGGAGAATTTCGTGAAGTAGTTGTTGAACTTATTTAAATATGCACAGACGTTTTACTCATATAGATAGTTGGAATGAAAATCGGTTCAGAGTACGAAGTTGAAATTAAATTAATCGCGGCGAATATACTTGCGGTTGTTGTGCTATAAGTTTAATTGCTGAATTTCAATTTCGAAATCAAATAAAAATGATAATGATGTGGTAAACGAGCTTTGGGAATATTTTTGCTTGATTGATATTTCAATTTCGTTTATAACTTTGTAATTACACGTTTATACATGTCCAGAGCTTTTAAAAACAGTAAACTTTTATTAGGCAAACTTTATTGATGCATATATCCATATGGAATATAGCAAAATATGTGATACGATTTTCTGAGTGCGCAGGGTTGCAAATCTATAAATCACCCAATGTTCCAAATCCTCGAGCAATACTTTTGATCATCAATCATTGTCGTACATGCTAATATTGTTTCCTTAGAATATATTTGCCAAAAAATCGTTTGTTGAAGCAATTGCTTATTATTCCTTGACAAATACTTATCATACATCATGAGAATTTCAAGTCATATTGCCATCTTATTGCTTTCGATATCGTTGTCAAGTGCACGTAGACAGTATGAAATATCTTCAATTTCTTTTCGGCATATGTATATAGGGATAACCGGGAAAATTTAGTTAAATTAGTTACATACGATTAAAAATATATAGTTTTTTAGTAGATGATTCTAACCTTTTATAAACCATCACAATGTTTGTACATTATTCATTTACTAACATTGACTTTGAAGAGAGAGGATCCATAATCCATACTATTTATGAATGCTGATGTGGGCATTCGTAAAATAATTATGTTGTCTGAAAGTTGCTTATTGGAGTCATTTCTATTTTGGAAAAATGAGGAAGAATGTTATGGTCAATAATGTTGATATTGTGGATACTAACAATGGAGAGCTTTTCCATAAATAATTTCTTTAATTTCGTTAATTAGTCGAATTTGATTAAAATTCAATACTTTGTGATTCAACGATGGTTTTATTAGACATTAATTTATGGATATGGAACATCAGCAAATTTTTTGTAGTTCTTGGAATATCTAAATCAAATGCCAATTTAGTGATTTGACCTCCGGGTATAAATAATGCAAAATTTGTGTTATTGTCTTCTCTTCACCTAAGCGACTTTTTTCATCCTTCGACCCCGTTTTACCCTAAATATTTATACGGGGCGACCCGACACAAACATATATCGATTTTGCCATTTGTAATATCACAGTTTGCTATTTGAGCTTTATGTTATATCGTTGTGAGCTTATAACTATCATTTCCACATCTGTGGCATGTTACGATGGTGTACATAGTTGCAGTTTTGATGCGTGCAGTGCAACAACATTCCTAAATAATCCTCGATAAACTGATAAATATTTGTAATACTAAACACTTTGGAAAATGTTGTGATCGACATTAATTGAGATAAGAGGAAATTATCGAGTATTATAAGCGACAACTATTTACTGAATGGGAAAGTGGTAAATTACTGATGGCAAAATTTATGCCAAATTTTAAGGACAATCTCTTCTTTGGGGTAATACTGCCATGTAATAAATTTTATTTATTTGAATATTATTATTTGGAATTTTATTAGAATGTTTTACAAAACTATGATGATTTTTCTAACTTTGTTTTCAAATGCTTATCATTTTCAATAAAAAATGATTCATTTAATTTGTGCTATTTGTATAATGTACTAAATTTTGATAAAGTAGTCGATAAATTCGATAAGATAAGAAACTTAATTCTTTATTTTGGTAATATTGTCTGTATTTTTATATCGAACGGCTCGACATTCTAATATAGAGGAAGAAATATTTAGATTAATTATCATGCACATGAATCTATCCAAACCTGACTTTTTCATTTAATTCAAGTTCTGGCAATAGACTCAATTTTAAATTAAAAAAATTGAACAATTGTTTCGTCAACACAAGCAGAAATTTTTTTGATTCATTCAAATCGGATGCTTTGTATCTTCGAAACGGTTGGACCGACCTTTCCCAAAATCTAATCAACACTAATCCTCATTAGTAAAAAGCGATTGCTTTTTGAATCATTCAAATCGGTTGAGCGGTACTCCCGAAAACGTCAACGAAAAATGGTATCCACACACACACACTCATTCATTTTTTCGGAGGTATGCCAAAGTGTTCAGAAACCTCTGAAACGTAAAGATATGTGAAATTTTTTATTTTTGATTTCTCAACTATAACTTAAGATTTTTCCAATGTTGTCAGATTCAGAATGACTTTAAAGTTGGATTTGTTGGCAAAAAGTAACTTCTCCTTCGGGTAGTTATAAAAAACCTTTATATCGAAAATTTATCAGTACATTTCTGAAAATTGTCTACTTACATATATGTTCCGAGGGGGGATGCTTAGTGTGAAATAAGTAGCTCGAGGGTAGGTTTTGCGCCTACTGTGACAGAATACTAATATCGAAAATGAGCATTTGCAAGTCCGGACTATTTTTCATTCCTAATGCGGTGCACCGTGCACCATATTCACCGTACGAATGCCGAGCCAAGTGTGGTGTATGGTGTAGGGGGTGCACATGCAAAGGTCATAAAACTTGGGGTACATGAACTGCGTTATAATCGTGAATTTATACTGGGGTGACCTAGGTCCTGGAAACGAATTGCTAGAAAGGAACGGGGGTGACGTTTTTTAGTTTACGAATTCCTGTGCTTATGCCGACACTTTTTCAATAGTAAAAGAGCTGAGGGATGGAAATTGGTGAATTTGGGTCATAGGAAATAAAACACATTAATGTGGACCATGGTAATTTTTTTAGATAATTTGGTTAATATGTATCAAGAAAAGTTGATGTCATAAAATTAAAAAAAATTAACACTATTTCTTATGTCAACCATATATGACTAACATGGTCTTATATTAATACTTTTTTTCTCTTACCAAATTACGTATGTCAAACATATGTCTTTAGAACTTCTTAGAACTACTTAGTGTCAGACACTTATGTCTGACATGGCGATTACCGTGTTAAAAGAATATTTTTTTAAATTTCACAATATTTCATTTATAATGGAAAACTTCGTAATTGAATTAATTGTTAAAAAACAATATTGCATCTAATTAATTGAGGAAGTAAATTAGGGGGCGTCCAAATCATGTGACTGATTTTTTAAAAGATTTTTGGACCCCCATCACTCCGGGTGATACGTGGTAATATTTAAAATTACCCTCCTCCCTCATGAAACATTATGTAGATTTTTGGTTACGGGAAAAAATTATAATTTTTTTTTTTGAAAATCAGTTATTAAATTTTAATACTTACTCAAAAATAATTATCATATTTGTTATTAGCTCTTCTACGAAATTTTCGACAAGGAAATAATGGCCCACTACGAATATTGCGTTGTGTTATCAACTGGAGTTTAATTTATTATCTAGACTTACATTATTTTTGATAAAAAACCCGGCAGGTACTGTTTGGTTTGAGATTAATTTTGTATAAAAACGCTATTATAGGATTTTTGTACATACAGAAGTTTGATAAAAATACCGCATTGTATAATATATATTTTTGGAATTGAATTAAAATAAAATGTTCCAAGTGGAGAATTAACCATATTTATCACAGCGCTTTTTGTTTTTGGGTTCTATTTTTTGTATAAAAAACTATGATTTATATCAGTACGTCTGAGTTTTTATTGCTCTAAGCCATTACCAGTTTTCTAAATCTGGTTTTATTATTTTATTGAGCACATAACTAATTGAAGTTGACTAAATGACACTAACTTCCTTTCGTTTTTGCAACAGTAATAGCAAAAACGATATCGACGTCAAATAATAATAAAATCAACTATATCAGTATTGATAGAATTCAGAACTTGTTTCACCAGGAGAAAAGGTAATGGTTTACCTTGATTAAAAATATTAAGTGCAAGGATGTTTTGTTAAAAAA